CCAATCAACTCGCATTCATAGGCGGGAAATTTTAAATGTCGGTCGGCAAGTTTACGGCTGAAGAAGGTGATAGGGTGCCCTTATTGCTGTAATATGGCTCCGATCCCTATTCCGGATGCATCGCATTCGACTGTAAACTCGATATCAAAGTTTGGTAATTGCAGAACTGGGGTGGAGGAGAGGGCATCCCTTAAACTTGCAAAAGCCGCGTCGGCTGCGTCATCCCAATGAAATGCATTCTTCTTTAGTAGGTTGGTTAATGGAGTAGCCAACAGGCCATAATTTTGTACAAACTTGCGGTAATATCCTGTCAACCCGAGGAACCCGCGGAGAAACTTGGTGGATTGGGGCTTGGGGCTTGGGCCATTCCTTGATTGCCTGAATTTTGGAATTGTCCACCGTTACTCCTTGCCCGTTGATGACGTGACCCAAGTAAAGAACCTGGTGCTCCCCAAAAGAGCACTTGGATCGTTTAAGGAAGAGCTTGTGGTGGCGCAAGAGTTCGAAAACAGTCCAGAGATGATGCACATGTTCTATCCATGATTTACTGTAGACTAAAATGTCGTCAAAGAACACTAAAATAAATTTGCGAAGGTGGAACTGAAATACCTCATTCATCAGGGACTGGAATGTGGATGGGGCGTTTGTGAGACAGAACGGCATAACTAAAAAGTCAAAGTGGCCATGATGAGTTCTGAAGGCGGTTTTCTCAACGTCTCCGGAAGCCATTCAGACCTAAAAGTATCCCGACCCGAGGTCTAATTTTGAGAAGTACTGGGCACCATGAAGTTCGTCCAACAACTCGTCCACAATGGGAATAGGGAATTTATCCTTGACAGTCTGGTTATTGAGCTCTCTGTAGTCAACACAAAACCTCCAAGTACCATCCCGCTTTGCCACCAACAGGATTGGCGAGGAGAAGGGAGAACGGCCAAGGCGGATGATCCCCTGTTTCATCATTTCAGCACATTGCTTCTCTATCTCGTCTTTCTGCAAATGTGGGTAGCGATAAGGCTGGACGATGATTGGTTCTGAACCCATCACTAGAGGGATCCAATGATCGCAGGCTCGGGAAGGAGGAAGTCCCTTGGGTTCTTGGAACACATTAGAAAAATCGGCGAGGAGCCTTTCCATAGTCGCTTCGCCTAGGAGCGTATGAACCTGTGGTTTTTTTGGTTTTACCCTGTTACCCTGCCAAGTAACTTGCTTCCCATTCAAGCGAAATGTCATCGTTAGGGCGTTGAAATCCCATAGGATTGGGCCTAGGGTGATCAACCATTTTACCCCCAGAACTACATCAAATCCATCCAAGGATAGCACAAACAAATCAGCAGAGAAGGATTCAGATTCGACCTGTATTTGGACGTCCTTACAGATTCCCAGATTGTGAACCCTTTCACCGTTTGCTATGGCTACCTGCAGTCTTGGTCTAATTTCCATAGGCAGTTCCAACTGAAGGGCAGCTTGCTCACTTACAAAATTGTGTGTGCTTCCTGAATCAACGAGGATCCGTACTAGTTTTCCCGTTACCCATGCCTACAATTGCATGGTCTGAGAGGTTTTTATTCCGGTGATTGCGTGGAGGGAAATCTCGGGTTTGAACGCTGAGGCTTCATCCTCGTCTTCCTCTTGTTCATCCACCAAGAGGTAGAAAAGTCTCTTGCACCTGTGTCCTGCCGAATAAAGATCGTCGCAGTTGAAACATTGTCCCCTTGCCTGGCGTTCTGCCATCTCGGCTCTGGATAAAAGCTTAATGGGGGGTGCTACCATGCTGCTTCCTACACTGGATGCCGACCTGGGGACGTTACTCATATGAGGCTTCTGTTCTCGGTTGGCTGCAGAAGAAGAGGCCATTCCGGGTGTTTTCGGGGGTGCCCATGATGTTGGCGGCTGCCCTATACTGAAGGTTCTACGGCTGAGTTGCAGCTTGCATTTGAAGGCACGGGCTAGATTCATGGCCATAACCAGGTTGAGGGGATTTTGCATCTCCACATCCACCCTCAAATGTTCTGCTAACCCTGCGGTGAACATGTCTACCTGCTGGTCTGGTCGTATTGATGATGCTCTGGCAAGGAGGGTCTGAAACTGGTGCTGATATTCAGCCACTGTTCCCGTTTGTTTGAGGTTGATTAGTTCGCCCAAGGAATTGCTTGTTAATGGGGGCCCAAACCAGAGAAGGCAGTAGGATTTGAATTGGGTCCAACTGAGCCCGGGTTCCTCCTATTCCAATCGATAAAACCAGAGCTGCACTTCCTCCGTCAAGTGGAATGCGGCTAGGCTTACCTTGTCTCTATCCTCTGTCCGTTGGTTGCAGAAGAACTGCTCACATCGGTACAGCCACCCCAAGGGATCACCGTCGTCGTTGTAAGAAGGGAACTCCAACATGCTGTATTTGGGAACGACCGTGGCTCCCTGGGTGACGATCTGTTGTTCGCCGGATGACTCTACCACGTCTAGTCGGCGGCCGTTAGTGGTTGCATCCCCTTCTGGGATCCTCTCCTTGTTAGAGAAAAATAACTCCATCAAGCACCGTAACTCTCGGACTTCGTCCTTGATTTCGCGTACCTCCGTGTTGTTCTCCACGAGCCTGTGCTCCAGTTCGTGGACCCTGGACGTCAACTGCTCCAGATCACCCATGACTCCTTGCTTTGATACCAAGCTGTTAAGGGCCTAAGAATAGGTTCTCGTCACGGGTCGGTCCATGGGGAAAACCTCCTGTTTTCCCATGTTCATCCCTTTTCTTAAGGAACCTATCTTGGCGCCTTAAAGGTGATTTGTTCAAGAGATCACCAACTCTCCTTTGCTCTTTCTGGAATGAAATTTTCGATGCCTTTATTGAATATTATCAATTCCTTAAATAGGAGATTACAAGAGATAAGAGTCCTACATTTAGGAAGACTCCCTACTAATCTATACTACTGACCAGATAAAATAAGAACACTGAATAAATAAGACTCCCTACTAATCCTATTACTGAAAACAGATAAGGTAAAAATGTTGAATAGATAAGATAGAACTTTATCTAGCTGGAATTAGATAAGAATGTTGAATAGATAAGATAGAACTTTATCTAACTGGAATTAGATAAGATGAGAACTAAGAACACCCAATTACTACTGCTGCCAGGGGCGATACTTCTTCCCAATAAATGCGTCCACATCATGTGTTCTCTAGGTTATAGTTTGTTGCTTTGTATTGTCTCCGTGCTTCTTGTTGGATGGTGGCTTCAGTCTCTTATTGGCTATATACTATTAGCTAGTTTACCGATTCAACCGATAAAACCATGAACTAGTCCATTGATTGATTCGATTAGGCCCTAAAAGCCTGGGGTGATCAAAATTAGCTAGTTGACTAATCCAACTAGAAAATTGGTGACAGTCCCAATTTCATAAAACTAACCGTTTTTTATTCATTTTTTTAACATTTATTCTAATTTTTGAAGACCATAACTTTGCACTTGTTTGTTTGATTAGGGTAGTATTTTTTCTATTTTTGGGTAACTTTTCATGATCTATGCGTTCCAAAGGCATCTTGACCCACTAATTTTGCCAAAAAATGCCTATTTTGGCCTTAGATCATAATTTTTAGTATAAAAAATTAAGACTAAAATAAAAATATCTGTTATATCATATGTGCAAGATATAATTATATATTTTAAATATATATATATATATATATATTACATACCTATATTACATATTGGTTCAACTTGATTGGTTGAATCAATTACTTGCAACCTGAAGAAAAAATGGTTTTGCCTCCGGTCCGGTTCTCTAAATCTAAATACTATTATGTTTTCTACCCTTAGGTTAAATTCAAAGATAGGCAATTTCGATTAAGAAAAAGTCTAGAAATATGAGACCCTACTGGCAATTTTAGTAGCAAAATCTGGAGATTAGAAGATGGCAGAGAAATCATCTAGGAAAGTGCAAAAAACATGAAAAGAACACATTTTTTTTGGGTGAACGTGCCTATAATCTCTTTCAAAATTTAAAGTTTTAATTACATATTTATATATTCTAAAATATATAAGATAAAACATCCCATATTTTTCAAAATCTGTAATTCACATATTACACATTTATTGTGAATAACTCAATTATTTTTCCATATTTCACATACCATCCAATAAAGTTTTGTTCAAAAAACGAAAAAAAAAAAAGAAAAAACGGTTTTGCTTCTAGTCTGAATTCCTAAACACGTTTTTCTTTCTGCCTTCATAATAGTAATGGGTCAAATTGAAATAGGGCAATTTCAGTCAAGAAAAAATCTAAAAATCTGTGACACGGCACTTTTAAGAGCAAATTTTGGAGAAGAATAGAAGATGACAAAGAAATCATCTAGAAATCCAAAAAACATTTTTTTTGTGAGCATGCCTATTTGCATAATTTAAAGTTTTAATTGCATGTATATACTCTAAAATATATAAAATAAAACATCCCATATTCTTTAAAATCTGTAATTCACATACTACACATTTATTATGAATAACCCAATTATATTTCCATATTTCACATGTCACTCAATCAAGTTTTGTTCAAAAATAAATAAATAAACAAAAAAAGCATATTATGCATGCCCTTACTAATTAATTTTGTTAGGAAAAATATTCTTTCAGAATACGGTTTCCTAAACAATCTTCAAATCAACTGGAGAAAAATCATAAAACCTGCTCATTTGCCTCGGGTCCCCAAAACCATCAATGGTCCTGGGTTCCCACACCCACATGCTCTCTTTGTTTTCTGTTTATGCTTGTAATGGATGCATATTGCTCCTCCCATTTTTACACTAATTTTATAGTTAAAAAAAAAAAGAACCAGTGAACATTCATGCCCATTTAATCCACAACTTTTTTTAAATTTTTTGTGATAATATGAAAACATGAAAAACATTATATGCACAACAGTTTTCCAAAAACTAAACTTCTATTTGTGATTATTACAGAAATCAGATTGGTTCAGATTTATCACCAGGGAAATCAAAAGCTTGAAACCGTAGAATGGGTTAAATCTCATAGTAATAGTAAGACAAGTAAATCAATATATATTATGATTATAAAAGGATGATAATAATTATGATACTACAGCTCAACAGTAAGACAAGCCAGGAAGAGCTTGTCCTACAAAGTTTCCCGGATTTCTCTATTCTACTCAAACTCAGCACAAAATTTATAAACAACTTCACAAATGCTAAGGAACCAAAAATGAAGCTTGTAACAAAAACAAGGATGCCCTTATTCTCCATGTATATTTGATTCTGCCGCACCCTTTCAACCTCCGATCTGCAAAACAATGACACCTTTTAATCCTCTTAAAACAGTATCAAACAGAACCATGAATAGCCGAAACAGGTAAAATAAGCAATGGCATTATTATTAACGTGCATTTTCATTTGAGATCCGTCAATATTATTGAGCATTGGTTTGACATCTAGAATTCCACCAAGGGAGGAAAAAAATAAAGAAAGGGGTCATTGAGGATAGGTATTGTCTACCCATCCCAAGACCCAAATGAAAGAAAAAAACAAAATCAATCTAAGAGAAGAATGATTAGACTAGCGCACTAACCAGAGCAGGGTTATAAATTACCAAAAAAATACTCATTTCACTTGCTTGGATCTATCATCTGTCACTTATGACGACCTAATTAACATATCGCAAATCTCTCTTTTCACCATTATCTGAATCATCTAGTTGGAGTTTATCACCCCCAAGGTCTTAGTTAAAATATCACCATGTTTTGTGGCAAAGGATCACAAACTCTAAACGGTATGATAGCATGACAAACCAAGGCAAACAGTGTTGAGTGGAAGCAGGAGAAATGAGATGCCAACATCAGGAATTGAAGCCTTGTGCGTTTATCTGGGTTCTATGTTGCAGTTTCCATGAATACAATCTAAATATATTTTTCTCTCCTAAAATATTTTCCCTAGTATCTGATTATAATGTAGTTATTTCAGGTGCTTCTTGTTGTTAATATTTTATGGATAACAAAAAGGGTTTATTGATAAAAAAGGAGAACAAAGGAGAGATCCAACAGGCAGACTCATTATCATCATCACCCAAGACTAATCCCACCAATATGGGATCAGCTACATGAATTCTGTTTCGCCATTCCATTCTAGTTAATGCCATATCCATTGTTAAATTATTGGTGCTCAAATCATTTCTTACCACTTCTAGCCATGTCTTTTCTGGTCTAACACCTAATCCCTCTAGCGCCTGGGCTAAGGCGCAAGGTGCACCAGGCGTGCGCCTTTTGAATGGGCTGCGCCTAGGACCTGGGCGAGGCGCCTACCCTAAAACGCACCTTGTCTGTGCACCTAGGGCCTAGGCACGCCTTTTTCATTGCATGCAGTAATAACCATACTAAAACAATGTCAAAAAGAAGTTCAAATCATGAGAGATCATATATGATGATAAATGCCATCTCCACTTGTCTATCACAATTCCTATGTGCTGAACTCCAATCTAGGGAATCTTGTCACAGTTGCACCAAAAGGAGTGACCATGGGCTGGATGGGCCAGGCATTATGGACCAGGCTGGAAATAATCATCCTTAAGCAGCACTGGGAGGGTTGTTAAATCATACAGGTGGAACAGTTCACCCACCCTACTACTAGCAAGCACAATTCCTGTTTGGTCTGCTCTATGACTGAGAGAAACCATTCTTAAAACACTAGAGATTCACATACTATGGTTTCCAAGTCACAAACTTCTTTGATGACCTAAATGCTAATAACAAAAATCAGAAACTCGATCTAACTACCAGCACTAACAAAACCATCCTCCCCATAAGATGTTTCAAAATCCTTCACATCCTTATTATAAAAATTAGCATTTCTATCCTAATCCATAGACTTAGTGGAAAAAAAAAAAAGAAAAATCAACAGGTTATGTTATTATGCTTATCATTCAATGGCTTCCACATAAACCATCTTTTACAAACTTGTACCATGTTTGCTCCAGTGTAAGCATCAATTTTAACTTACTTTTCTCTTCTGCCAGAACTAGCAGCTTCCTTCACCATCAATTTCTGAAACTTCTGAAGAAAAACCAAGAATGTTAACATGATTTTCCTTGTTTTCAAATGTTTCCAAGTGTTTCTCACACACACTACTTTTTTTATCAGCAACACAAAAGATTTCATTAATTAGACAAAACCAGGTCACAACAAGAAGTTGTGAAAATAAAAACCAGCTTTAGAAGCTGGTCCAAACCAAGATTACATTTGAGACCAAAACATGTGTGTTCTATGAACCCCTTGTTTGGCTAAGCTATCTGCCAAACTGTTGGCAGTTCTCATCACCCATCTCACTCAGACTGACATGTCCTCTGATAGCGATTTAAATCTCCTGAATTCATTCCTCAAATGCCATGTCACCTGCTCCCCCTTATGCAGAAATTTTACCACAGTTTTCGAGTCTCCCTCAATAATCAGTCTACTAATACCCCATTCTTTTGCCTTCTCAACCCCATACACTGCAGCCAAGAGCTCTGACCTTGCCACATCACCTTGGCTCCACAGGACTGGAGTATAAAGCAAGTATGTTCCCATCTTCATCCCTAATTGCCATCTCCCCCCCTACCTGAAGGGCCTGGATCATCCAAACAGATCCCACCAAAGCTCAGTTTTTTCCATCCATTTATTGGGGGAGACCATGTCTCAACAGATTTCTGTCTTGTAGATGAGGACACAACAATAACACCCCAAGCTCTGAAAAAATCTTCAATCTTGAAGTCTGAAAACACCCCAAGGCTTCCTTGCTTCTTTCCTTTTCTTCAAATATTCTTGCATTTCTTTCCTCCCAAGAATTCCAAAGTAATGCTGTTCTAGTGTTCCTCATAATACTCACTCCATGAGATCACAACTCTAGTGCAAAAGAGAAGACCTCTCCGTTGCTTGTCTCCAAACTGATGTCTTTGCAAAGCTAATGGGGAGAGCCATTATCACGTACTAATCTCTTGTTCTTTGGCTGCAGCTATTTGGGGAAAGGTTTTCTCCTTTCTCTAGGTGTAGGTGGATCTTGCCTTAGGAGCTAAACAGGCTTTTTGACCCTTCCATGTTTATATGGCCCAAGAGAAGGGGGAGAGTTCTTTGGAGGTGTACAAGGATGGCCCTGGTTTGGACTATTTTAAAGAAATGCTAGAATCTTACTAGAGAAACTGCTAATCAAAAAGTAAAGAAAAGAAAAAGGAAAAATCTTACTAGAGAAAGAAAGAAATGAGGAAGCAGGGATGGAGTGTTTAGTGACAAAGGGTGATACATTAGGTTAAAACTTTGGACAATTTCTCACATTTCTCATTTTATGATATTTGTAGGAATTGGGGCTTAGTGGTAAAAAGTTCTTCAAAGAAGGAAAAGATTACTTCCCCTTTGGTCACCCACTGAAGAAGGTTTTATTAAACTAAACTTTGATAGGAGCAATCAGGGTAACCCAGGTCCATCGGGTGTAAGGAGTGTGTTCAAGAATAAAGAAGGAAATATTGTTATGTTTTCCTTAAGACCAGCCAATGTGGGGGACTCGATTAAACTCTTGTTGTACTCCAAGGGGTACACAGGTACAGCTAGCAGACAGTTGATCTTTAACAAATTGGTCATTGAAGGGGATCCTAAGCTGGTGGTAGGATGGTTCAATGGACCTGGATGCAGCAATATGGACTTATAGGGATGAAATCAAGAGATTCCAATACGACTCCAAGAATTCAATGGGAAAGAGGAACAACTAATGGGATGCAGATGCTTTAGCAAACCAAGGGTTTAATAGGGATCATTCTGGGCTCACTTGTAATTTGAATTATTTTCACCTCTTCTAGGGTCTCTTGTAATGTTTGCTGATACTAGTCATAGAAGCACAATGAAAGACATCAGAAAAGAATACTTCAAGAATATAATGGAAAATATTCTGGTTATGGATTCTTGTCTCTCTACAAATGGCCGTACTCTACTTTTTCTGCTTTTCTCTTTTTCCCTCTTCTAATTCCTTCCCTTTTTGTGAAGTTTCTTCAAGGTGCAGGCAAATATGCCCTTAACCTGAAGGTATGCTGCACCAGCAGCATGCCACATAAAATATTGGTCCATAAACTCAACAAAGCCCAGTCCAACAACTTACATTAGATGACTTATCTCAATTCAACTGAACAAAACCTTATTTCAGCAAGATGTAGCCTATGTCATAGTCCATTTGATCACACCCTTCTTAATTCTATGTAAGTTATTGTAAGGAACTTTCAAACTAATCAAGCAAGATGCTATGTCTATTTATCAAATTCCCATCACATGCCCATTAGAGCACAAATTACATCTTGCACAGTTCAAATATTTGGTATGGTTGTTTATGCAACTATTGGATCTTGACATAACCCATCTTCTTCCAGAAGCTGTATTGCAGCAGGAGAGGTGGATGGATGGAAGATAAAGGAAATCATTTTCATGTTGTCATGGTATCAGTTATAAGCAAAATCAGACTAGATTCAAATCTTAGAAGCACAGAATTTCCTTCTTGAAATATGCATCTAGTTTCAAGTGGGGTTTCCCAACTACTTGATACAGTGAATACAAACCCCATATTTTGCATTGCACATCTATGTTTTCCATCTGTCTGCAATGCAACAAGAGCTAGCATTTTTTCATGGCTAAATATAATTAAAAATTTTCACAACTTTAACTTTCATCGCATAACCTGAATATCATATGCATATTATAATAATAATATACTCAAATGTATTTTTGTCAAGGGTTAATGCACAATTTTCTGATAAAAAAGGGGTTAATGCACAACTAATCCAGCATAAACTCAAAATAAAGGAATGCAATAAAATGTAAATATAAAAGAAAAAAATATATATGTTTAAGGACTAAATTCAACCTGAGAATTGCATTATCTCTGAGTAGATTATCTAGTTGCAAGGAAACAAGGGATTTCCAAGTAAGGAGGTCACCAACATCATTGGCCTGCAAGGAGATTTAGATATTAGAGAATAAATTGATGGAGTTGATAACAATAAAGCAAATCAACAAAAAATTAAAATAATAGATCACATACAATGACCTCCTTGCTGTCAAAAAGTTCCTTAATATCCACTTTTACTTTCTCCAAAAGTGCATCTTTCTCTGCAAATTCATTGTCAAATTCCTTGAAAATGCTGCCATATCTGGAGTTCAATTCCTCCAGGTAACGCTCCAAAACTGAAGAACTTAAATCCAGTGACTGTATTTTTTTCATCAGTATCTTAAGAACAGTATCGCCAGGCATTCTTCCCAGCTGCTGAGGTCGCATTCCTTTGATTGGGTCAGGAATATTTGTTTTTGGAACTTCACGTCTTGAGTTGGAGTTTTCAAGTCCAGATTCAGAGTCAATTTCTGTAATAAGATTTTGATAAGCATCCTCACTCTCTATGGGCTCTGCTTGAGGGGGTGTTGGCTTCTGCTCAGCAGTTGGTTCATCAGATCCCAATATATTTTCTTGAACAGAAATCAAATCCTCCAGCATGCGCTCAACAGCATCCACTCCATACACTTCCACAAAACTCAATGTGCAGTAGAATTCTGAACCATAGTGGCTAAGGAGATTCAGCTTGAGATATCTCACCCATTTTGGCTCTTGAAGAGCAAACCTCTGTGCATGTTTCACGTTTCCAGCAGTGAAATTCCCAAGTTTGTCCCAGCTGTCTGTTGGATAAGCCAAACTGCCTAGCAGTTCAAAATCCTTCAAGTTGGACGAGTGGTGCTCAAAGTTTGCTATTTCAATTGTATCCACTAATGTTTCTTCTGAAAGTTCTATGACAACAAATTTCTCTTCAGCTGAACATGGATTTCGGAGGTACTTGTCCTTATCCCTGCACAAGATGTTAGAGGCTCCTTTTGCTTCCTTATTAAAAGCCAATACTTTTGCTCCCTTTGAAGCAGAAGCATAATTATATTCTGTCCAACCAGTTTCCACTCTGTGTATCACATTGCCAGACTGGCCAGACACAGGTTTTCCTTTAGGATTGATTGCTTTGCTTTTGAATTCATCAAGACCAAGAGGTGCAGTACGACCTAACCTGTCACTCTTTGCAGTATCCTTTTCTAGCTTTGCCCCCAAACAAGAGGTTCTCACATCTGCTTGTTCTTTGACAGCTGACAGATAATTTAGTTTTCCTTCACTAGCCTGTGATTCACAATTACTGAGCTTGGTCTCAGCACCAGAAGTGTATGACCTCTGATCAGAAGGCCTGGAACTAGCTTCTGCAGATGGAAGTTCAACTCCACAATCAGACCCTTTACTCAGTCCCAGCTTAGCTTCTTCAAGCCAAGCTGATTCATCAACTGGCATTCCTGATTCATCTACATTATTACAAATAGTTGAGAATGTCAACCAGTTAATAAGAAAATCTTTGAATATATGAAAATTCTAAATTATAACACCAAATCTACTGCCGGAATAACACCAAATACTTAAAGTTCAACCAAGATGAAAAATGGGAAAGAGTTAATTTGAGGATATAAATTTCCTAAACAAACACATTGCATATTACATCTATTACCGCATTGCATTAAGTAGATTATCTAATCACCCACACAAGGAAAAATGATGGAAACTAATATAATAAAAGCAAGTGATGAAGAAAATTTGCAACTCTTGGTTTTGGCAAATCTAGTTTGATGCAACTTCAGTGCATGCATTCAAAAATTAAAAAAGGGGTAGTCACCAGTAAAGATTTTGGTAAAGGGGAAGAAAGCAATTACCGAGCTTACCTCTATACCCATCACTGCGACTAATCCAGAAGTTTAAGAGGAACACAAGAGCCCATAGAGCAGCAAGCAGAGACAGAGACACCTTGAAAAACCGTTTCCTTCCAGTAATGGCATTCTCCAAAGCTCTTCTCCGAAGAAGAGCTCTACGTGACCTCTGCATCGTACATTAATCCAATCCACAATGGACTGTAAACCACCAGAAACGGAAAGACAAAAGAATTAGAAACCCATTTACCAACCGATGCACTTGCTCCTGCTCTGCATAGTAAAAGAAATCACAAATTCAAAAACCATAAAAAGAAAACAAAAAAGACAAATGGATTCCAATTCAAGCTCCAATCGTGTCCAAATCGATGTGTCATAATGGTTGTTACAGGAAAATTCATCTTGGCATTCAAGAAATATCACCTTTACTCACAAGAAACACGACAGCCGACCAAGATGGATGGCGAAATGACTCGAAATAGCCTAAGCCTTCAGGTGAATTAGAAGAGAAGAAACAACGAAAGAATACCCAATACCCTTTTCTTTTTCTATACTAGTTTCATTATCTAGAATAAAAGCGCCTCTTATTTTCTCTTTATGCCATAAAGTCAAAGAACCTTTCCTTTATGGCATTATCGCAGCGAATAAATATATTATGTCCTTCTATCTTCAAAATCTCAATCCAAAACCCAGATACTAAGCTTATTAACTCATCATTTGAAACAAATCCATGAAAAGAAAACCCAAGTTTAACAAAAACAGAATTACAGAAAGACACCATCTACGGTTACCTCAATAGCTGAGATGAAATCTTGCCTGCAAGATCGACCGAAAGCAGATCTCACCACAAGGTCTCAAAAATATCTAAAACAAGGAAACAGGAACCATAATCAGATCACAAGAAACAAAGAACTTGAACGAAAGCCTTCACCGGTATCTTAAAACTGGGATGAGATTGAAATTAAAATCGAATTAAATAAACAGAAAACGAGAAGTCAATACAGAGGAAACACGATCGACGATCCGCAATACCTCTCGGACCACAAAGATCGCCTGCCAATCACGAGATCTTCGGCCCAATTCAAGTCTTCGTGACGATTTCGGGACGAGAAAACGAGAGGTGGAGGGATCCGAAATTCCGAAGGCTTAAAGAATAAATTTTGAAATCTTACCGATAATTAAAACGAAAAAAATCCATATTTTAATGTGTTGTCGTGCCGATGTATTTATTCACTTTTTTTATTTATTATTTCTTGAGATAGGATTGTTTCATAACGGCTTTATATGTCTTTGTTTGCGCCGAATGTCTGAAATCTCTCTCGCACTCTCCATTAAATTCAAAATCTGTGTTCTAACTTCTAAGTTAATAAGTAATTTAGGTGTTTGGTTGTAGTGTAATTTTATTTGCACTGGTATAAAAGTATAGGAGTGCAAATGAAATAAATGCAATTGTTTAATTTTATTTTGAGTTTTACTTAATTCTTCTTCATGTCTTAATAACAAAAATAGGTCGGTCAGAATGTACATTAAAATCATTTGTACCGTCATAATTTTGTATGAGTACAAATTTATTTACATTTCAATCAAACACAGCCTTAGGATTTTTCACTAAATGTAAAAAGGTTAAAAATTATATAATTTTTGCTTTTGCCTCCACCTGGAGCCAGATCTTCAGAGTTCAGTTCAGAGTAGTGTCTGGAGTCCGAACCTAGCTTTCTATAACTGATGATGTAATTAAGGAACTAAAGGCTCCAAAGTACAATTCATGTACCGCTGGATTCGGATCTAAATGCTCCGAAAAAATTACAAATCAGATTTCGTAGCGTGTTGGACCTGTTGGTCATTGTGGAGCTAATTTCGTGTAAAATCCGGCTATTAACTCGTCGTGCCCACGGCAAACTTTTCTAATCAGGGAGCATGTATATGGACGACACAAGGCGTCCTCGTAGGCGTTTCGTGCGGGGAAAGATTTTTTTTGGGTAAACCGAAACCTCTCCTGAAGTTTGGCACCTCTCTGAACTTTTTGTGGAGATAGTGTATATCTTTTTGTTATAATACTGTTATGAGGGGTTTTAGCAATTTACCCAACGAAAATCTCCCTATAGCTTTAAAAAAGCTGCAGCTACTTTCCCTTTTAGGAAAATGTTGGTATAATGCATTATTCTTTTTTTTAAGTATCAATTTTACCTTTAGGAATCAGAACTGAAATCATCTATTTCTAACGCCTAATTGGTTCAATCAGGAATTAGAATTAGATTCCAATTGTTGTCGTTTGGTTCATTTGGACTTGGAATTTGAATCAATTATTAGTTTATTTGTTATTTTATTATTACTTTATTAATATTTTATAAATATATCACTTTTATTTTATTATTATTTTATTAATGCTCTGTTATTGTTGTTTATTATTTTAAAATTAATTTATTACTATTTAATAAATAATATGTTATTTTATTATTACTTTAATTATAATATATTAATATTTTGTTTATAGTTAATTATTATTATGATTATTATTAAATAAATAATATCTTTGCCTTCCATTACCAATACATTAATATTTTATTGTAGTACTATTATTTTATTAATATTTTACTAATATTTTTTATTATTTTAATTATTAATATATTCTTATTGTATTATTATTATCTTAATATTACTTTAATTATATTGTATTGATATTTTATTTATACTTTATTACTATTAAATTTAATAATTGATATCATTGTTCGTTATAATTAATTTACCAATATTTTATTATAGTATTATTATTTTATTATTATTTTACTAATATAAGTTAATGGTTTATTAATATTTATTTATTATTATTAGGGAAAATTCTTGATCAGTACCCTATACTTTGGCTCGAGTGACAATTTGGTCCCCGAACTTTAAAATGCAATAATCCAGTACCTGAACTTTCGAAATGCGACAATCTAGTACCTACTGTTAATGGACTGTTAGTTATGTATATCACATGACCTCATGTGTGATTTAAGACTTTTGAAAATGTCAAAATTTCCCTTGAAAATAAAACACACTGTTCATCATGTCAAAATTTCCCTTGCAAAGTTGTTGCAAGTCTTTGCCAATAACAAAAAATTCCAGGTTTTATACAACTTATTTTTATTTATTTTTTAACTTAACACGGTAATATTTTATTCCTACAGGTAAAAGAGAGGAGAAGAACTGGAAGCTTTGTCTTGATACTTGAGAGAGAGAGAGAGAGATCAGTGATGGTGGCGAGAGACTTTTCTCTTTTTCCGTTTTTCAGATAAGATAATTACGAAACTTTTCTCCCATAAATTGCTTTGGTTTTGGTCTGAAGATGATGAAATATTCAGAGGAGAAGAAAGACAAAAGTGTTGTCACAAGGATGAAAAACTTGACGGTTGGTTCTGATTTTAGTTGATGGTTGATAAATAAAATTAGATGACACTTGAAGGGCATTTGTGTCTTTTCACATGCCACTTAACGACTGGTTAATGGTAGGTACTAAATTGTTGTGTTTCGAAAGTTTGGGTACTAGATTGTCGCATTTTAAAGTTCGGGGACCAAATTGTCACTCAAGCCAAAGCACATAGTACTGATCAAGCATTTTCCCTTATTATTATCTTATTATTAATTTAATAATATTTATTATTTTATTAATATCAAGGTTTGGGGGTTTTTCTCATGAGTTCTTTTTCTTTACATCTTGATAGACTCTACAATGGGTATCCCATTCCCCCAAGAATGAGAATCGAAATCCCATTCCTGCCAAACAAACGGTAGGAATTGGAATGGGTTATTCCAATTCTGATTCCAAGCACTTATTCCTGGAACCCAAACGGACCCTAAAACAGTTTCTTGGTCAAACTGAAAAGAATAAAGTAGTTTTACTTTGTAAAATTGTACACTAGATGAAATATAGAAGGGCAAATTTGACATTTTAAAGTATGTAGAAAGATGCCTTAACAAGTAGTAAGGGAAACTTGGTAAATTCTACTTCTTCATTACTGGAACAATAACCAAAGTAAGGTAATTGCAAGCTTTTTTCAAAACTATAGAGGAGGCTTTTAATAAAATGAAACCTTAGGGGAGGATTTTATGATTGTCAGAAAGAGGTTTTTATATTTTACTTTTTTTTTTAATTTTTAAGCCTAAGGGAAATCCATCCAAGTCAAAAGATTACATCTTAGCATAAACTAATTTAAGGATTTCTTTAAATTGCTTAAATATCACTAATTTTGAGAAAGTCAAGAAAAGGTATGATTGCATTAGGGGAGAGAACATAAAGAAAGCCAATTACCCATTGTTGTTTTTTCTTTCTTTCTTTGAAATAAACTATACAATACTAGAAGGAGGGCTGCTCCAAAAAATTTGCATACTAGACGTAGTTTTCATTTCCTGAGAAAACTACCCAATTACCCAATTTGCATATTAAAGTTCTTAGGAATATAGTAGAACTTAATATTTACAAAAGAAAAAAAAAAGGTCTTAAGAGTTAAAATGTCATCAATCCACTTAATGACAGTCCAAGGAAGGGGGGAGAGCCAAGATTCAAAAAATCTATAATATTCTTGGCATTTGAAAGGACTAATATCGAAGTCTAGGTGTGAGATTTAACCACTTCCAAGGCTAACCATATAGCAAAAAGCCCCGCTTCCATTGACAAAATCGGGCCCATAAACTTACCACCTACAACTAGAAGAAAAGATTTTGTATTATTAAATGCACATAAACCACAAAGAGATTCCCCACCCCTTGATTATTCCACCATCACATTTTATAATGGTTTCAAAAGCATCCAAAGATGGCAGGCTATAAGGGCAATCCAAATGATCAGAAACATTCTAAAAATTAGAAATGATGTCATCAAAATTAATACTCAGCTCCAAAAAAAGTCCTCCTAGAGAGGTTAAGGACCTAATAAATTGAATGATTTAAATTTTTAAAAACCATACCATTTACGGGACAACCAGATATAATACAAAGGAATGGCAAACCAAGATAGCAAGGGGTCTAATTGGTCAAACAACTTGACATTGTCAAAAAGAAACTTCATGAAAGATGAGATAGAATCAAAAAGGCTATTACTAACACATAATCCCCACAGGGAAGCAAATATGATGGCTCGAGCAGAAGGATAAAGACAAAAACAACACCCTCCTATCAGACAAAACTTATTTTGTGGCTATAAAGTCCTAGGACAATTTCCATAAAAAAAATTAAATTTAGGAGGAACTTTCAGCTTCCATATTCTTTTCCTTGTCAACAGCACCCTCCTATCCAGGGAAGAGTTTTGAAAAGGCCAAAGCAAGTTGTAATAGATTTTAATTGAAAATGACCCATTTTGGGCAGGTACCTAGATGAATTTATCCTCTTGAAGAGAGTGGGGCATTGGGGTCTCTAGAATCACATCCACTTCCCTTGGGTTAAAGAGGTTAGAAAGTCCTGGAGCATTCGAAAATCTTAAGTCACGAATAAGGTCTATGACAAGGATCTTTTGATCATCATAATTGGGGGAAACTATTGGGGTTCTAAACGCTCTCTGATCTCTAATTCACGGTAAGTTCCAAACATTTAGATTAGAAGATCTACTCACATGAACTCCCAAATTGCGAGCAAGGGATCAAAGAGACTTGAAAATGATTTTCAAAAAATGAGACACTGACACTGGTATCTTGGAGGGAATTAGCTCATTGTTTGTGAGGTATTTACTCCTCAGAAGAGACACACAGAGTGAGTTGGCTCTTTTAGAAACCTCCAAGCTATTTTGATTAGGAGAGCTTGG